CCACTCTCCACTCCCCTGCCTTCCTCTCCTCTCAGCTGCGGTGTGGGGCAGCTGGGCCCCAGAGCCTAAATTAGGACTTGGTGGCCCCGCCGTGGTTTCCTGTGGTCCCGACTTCCCACTGGCGCTGTCTGGCCGGGACAGGCTCCCCCAACGTCCCCTCCTCCAGGAAGTCTTCCCAGAGCTGCCCTCTGCTTCAACTGAGCTAGCCCCACCCCTCAGGGGGAGCCTCCAGCAGCCCCCTGCGGACTTCCCCTAGCGGGAGACTGTGCTCTCCGAACCCCCCCCACAACCAGAACAATTGCTGTAAGGCCTGGATGCTGCCCACAGTCCCTAAGGGAGGGGCCACTTCACAGGCGGGGTAAAAAGGCTGAGTAACTTGTCTAAGGTCACGTAGTCAGTGTGCCAGAGTGGGGCTGGGATTTAAACCAGAGAACCTGGCTCCCGAGAGCCCACGCGGGTTTAAACTAAAGGAACACGTAGGAAGGAGAAGTGATGAGGCAAGGAGTTCCCCTCCTCCCGGCCCACAGTGCTGTGCTGGCTGTGCGGGCCCCAGGGCAGCCCCTGCCCCTCTTTTGACCCCAGGCAACTTCTCCTTCAGGCTGAGCACCAGGGTGCGGGGAGGAGACACTGCCTGACCACTTGGTATTTCCCTGTGCCGACTCTGGAGATGGCCCTGGAACCCGGCCCTGCCCCCACGCACTAATTCTGCCTGCTCAGCCAGGAGCTGTGGGTGCTGTGAGGGGCCCACCTGGCTGAGCAGGCCCAGATCTGTAATGAAAGCCCAGAACGGGGCAGAATGGCCTGTGGGTGCCCCATCCTCCTCCGGGGCCAGGTGCTCCCCACCCTCCTCAGGGCTGGTGGTTAATGTGTAGCCAGGTGTGATTTCTGAGGAACCTGGACCACAGGCCGACGGGGTGATGTCACCGGCTTCTCACCTGACGCTGCTAAACCGGCTCCTGTGGGCCTTGGGGAACATGGGCACCCACAGAGAGGGCTGGTCTGCTGGGGGCGCTGTGCTTCTGGCCGGTGGAGGCTGGCACCCTTCGGGCCCTCCTGACTGTCCCCTGCTCTGGGACCACCGTCGCCCCCGTCACAGCTCTGACCACTGGGTCTGCAGGAGTCCAGTCTGGGCTCCTCCTGGGGGTTCCCGTAAGCACAGAGCCCAGCACTCCAGAGCTGTGGGATTGCCCCACCTCTCACCTGGCACCTCTGGTGCCCACCTGCATTTCCCTCTGCTTATGTGCTCACTGCGGGAGGCTGAGGATTGCTGGCCCAAGCCTGAGCAAGACAGCCCAGCTTCCTGGTGCCCTCTCCAGGCTGGACCTGGCTGCGGAGGGAGAGGGAATGCTGACCCTTCCCTCCCTGCACCCCTGAGCTGGTCAGCTCCTAAGAGGCTAGCAGGTGGGGGAGGGGGGTTGTGGGAGAGGCACTGTAGGACAAAGACAAAGAGGAAGCCCTGGGCCCACCCCCACCCCCAGGGCCCTGAAAGTCCTGAGAGGCCAGCAGTTTCCAGAAACAGAAACTCGAGCCCATGAGGGGCAGTGGGGAGGGCAGCTGCAGATATTTCTACAATAGGGGAAGGGGCTGTGGGGGGCAGGGGTGCCGGAATCCCGGAATAGGGGACACCTGCTGTCTGGCCCAGGCCACTTGCCTGTCACAGCTTTGCCTTACACGGGCTTGTTTTACTGGTCTAAAATACCCCAACAGGTCAAAGCACGCCCCGGCTGGGCAAGGGAAGAGGCAGGAGACCCTGCTGGGTGACCCCCAGGATAGCCAGGCCAGACCACACCCCCTGCTCACAAGCCTGCTGAGTCTCTCCTCCTCTGGGTCTTGTCCCAGTGCCCTCTGCTCAGGGCCACAGACACCCCGGGCTCCTGCCCGGCCCGTCCAGGAGTGCCCATCTCCTGGCCCGTTTCCTTCCCCTGGCAGCAGCACTGGCTCGTCTTGCTGCACTGAGCTCTCGCACAGACGCAGCAGGGACTTGGGCAAACGTGCACTTCCTGATCCATGGGTGACGACAGCACAGGGCGGACGCCGGCCGGGAGAGGCCAGTGCGCTTGTTCACAGCTGCGTACTATGCCACCTGGGCCGGGCCTTCTTGCCCCTGCCTCCCCCAGGGCTGGGCATGGAGTTGGAGAGTCGGACAGCCAGGTGTGCCCGGATGCCTGTTTCCCACTGTGCCCTCAGGTCTCCAGCAGAGAGAGGCGAGTCTGTCCTCCCTCAGTGAGTTCCTGGAGGTGGCATGGGGGTCATGGGGCACCAGCATTTTACATAAATACTGCCAAAGACCTCTCTAGAAAGGATGTAGCAATTCACAGTTGCAGGCAGCGTGTGAACGCCTGTCTCCTCACATTCCAGCCCATAGCCAGCACTGGCCCGTGCCAGCCTTTCATGTTTTGCCAACCAGGGTGTGCTGGGGGTGGATGAGACAATCGCTGTCCCTGTGCTTTGCAGAACCCCATTTTTAGTGCGTTTCTTTCTTTCTTTTTTTTAAACTTTCACATAAGCTTGTTGTTTGTTATGTTTCCTCCCATGGTTGCTGGGAGTCTCTGGGGCCTGCTTTGGGGGTGGGGTGGGGAGATAACACTGTCCCCTGAAGAGGGCCCTCTGGGGAGACTACCTTCCCCAGCGCCATGAGGAGGTGTTCCCGCACCTACCAGGAGCAGCTGGACTCAGGGTCCAGGGATCAGGCACCTCAGAGCCCTGGGGGTTGGCCAAGGTCAAGGCACCCCCGGCTGTGAGATCGGTGGCAGCCAGACTGCACCTCGCCTCGCACACGCTTTCTTTCCTCTGCACCAAGATCACCCGGGAGATGCCTGCAGACACCTTGAGGAAG